ATTCCGACCCTTAAAGAGGAGTTATGGCCCTTTGTTAAAAAAAAGATCTGTCTGACTCATAAACTGCTTGGCTAATTTCAATGAAAGTTTACAGATATGGTAATTACACCTTGTTGTCGTGCATCAGGGTAGTATATTTTCTTTTCGACCATTTTTAAGGAGTTAAGGCCCTTTGTTAAAAAACTACTAGGACGATTTCAGCAAAACTGGTTCATATGGGCTTACAAGATTTGGTATGTAAGAATGTTTGGCATTGGGAGGGAGTACAGAAAGTATGTCAATGACCTATATACTTAACTAATTACCGATGGGTGACTATGGATTGCTTTGCAATGCTTTGTCTTAGTTAGCCCTTTGCTTACAGTTCTGGTTTATATAGGAGTGGGCGGTATTAGTTAACCTTTGGCGTACACTCCTAGTTATTATTTTATTTTGCCTATTGCCTATTCACTAAACAAAATACGAAGGAATATAACATTATTTTATATCGTTAACTCTAAACAAATAAAGCAAGGAAAAGTATCCTTGTCTGCTCCCCATACAAACATTTTATTTTAGAAGTTCAAGGTCATCAATGTTTACAAAACTTAAATCCATTCACATGAACAACCTACACAATGTACTTGCCAAGTATCAAGACCCAATAACCTTTGGTCATGAAGAAACACAACTTAAAGGAAAAGTGGAAAGAAAGCTACGTTTTTCTTTTTCTTTTTTAATCAAAAGTGGTATATGACAAAACCGTTTGTCAATTTTTTGGAAATTCCTAGTGGTGAAAGTTATTATTCGAAGCCTACTTTCAAGCAAGTATGAAAAATAGACTCGTTTTAGAACTATGTTAATAAACGTGTCAAAAAAGAAAATTTTCTCATACTTTTCTGCTTTGATATTCAATCTTTCATGAAATAGTGTAATATTTGGTATCAAAATAACAGTTGGAATAATTGGGTCATTTAAATGTTCTAGGAGGAATTGTATTACCGCACCTTTAACACCCACACAGGTGTAAGTCAATGAGGTCCAATTTGTCATAAAATGAATTCTGAAAATATCTGTTCCTGATTTAAGCTTCATATACCCATACCGTTTTGTATTTATCTTGTTTTAAAATTCCAAGCGGGGGCCGACGCTTATGTTGAATTTCCATAGGCGTTGACCCTACCTTTCACCCCGTTCATACTCGCATGAAAACTGAAAAAAAAATCCAGGTTCAATCCCTATAATTCCAAATCACTATCAATGTGAAGAAAAACCACAAACATTTAAATTACGAACTTTTTTCATTCATTCCATAATTAAGAGTAGTAATCGCAACGCCATTTCGGGGATCTCGAAACTAATTCACGTGAAACAATGTCCACAGCCGCTTTATTCGGCTTGAGCGACCTTGTTGAGAAAAAGATTGAAGAAACATTTTCGAATGATCTATAATTTAACTTAGGCGATTCTTCACAGAGGTAGTTTACAACAGTGTACGGTAAAGTCGAGGGATGATGATTCTTGAGAACGGTAGGCCGGGGTTGACAACCGGTTTGAGGAAAGCGGTGTTTCTTATGACGGGAAGTAGCTAGACTCGTCACGTTTTTTGTTTCATGGGTCATCCATGGATAAAAAATATAACAGAACTAAATTTGTATGTCATGGATGGAACATTATGTATCGTTATTCCAACCCCGCGTTCCTCGGGGTTCGGTTGTTTGTAGTCTCGGCCTTGATATGTGCGGCGTACATTGTATGTGGGCCTAGTGTTTACATGCCGCGTTCGTCATGTTCGTGGAATTTCATCGATAATACATTAGAATATGTGTAAGTAATTTCACTTCAGTTGATACTTTCTAATATTGGAAACATACAGATAAATTCCTTATACCGTCACTATTTTGTGCAGACCCATATGTGACATCGAAATATTGTCATTTTGAGATGTGTCAGATTGATATCGTTGGTTCGTCAGACGACAGAACGTGTCACTGTTGTGAATATGGTCAACTGTATTTTAAAATTATTTATTTTGAAAACTTCTAATACTTAAGATGAACAAAAGACAAAGAGACAATAATAAAAAGTATAATAAACATTAGACTTAGTTTTTTTTCACGGCGAGTTTAGTCTATGCAATGGGACACAACTTTAACAACAATAAATATTTTGCTTATTTAAAAGTGGTCACATGGGAAAACAGTCGTTGCTACTAATATTAGCAGCTGTTTTTGGGTCACATGTACTACTATTAACCAATCACAGAACCTGTAACAAAGCACAAAATCAAATTTGGGATTATATTTCATTTAACGGTTTTCATCATGATTCCATTTTCTTTTTTTACTGGATTGCCTGCCTTAGTGCCATTTCTCTCCGCTAAGCTGCGCTCGTTGTTGATTCTCACTTCGGATTTGTCCTTCTGTGTCATAATATTATTTGATTGCTTTTGTCCGTGTATGTTTTTATAATACTATTTGATTGATTTTGTCCTTGTATGTTGTTATAATAATATTTGATTGATTTTGTCCTTGTGTGTTATTATAATACTGTTTGATTGATTTTGTCCTTGTGTGTTGTTATAATACTATTTGATTGATTTTGTCCTTGTGTGTAATTATAATACTATTTGATTGATTTTGTCCTTGTATGTTGACGCTGTGGTAAACGGTTCATTGGGGGGGGGGGGGGGTATTTTTAACTTAGAATACATTCTTTTTTCTTTAAATTATTTTCTTTTATTAAATATAAGATCATGATTTGTTTACGAATGATCACCCACCTTTAACAATAACATTCGCAAGATAAATAATGTTCATCTACCCTCAAACCCCAATTACAGGTTGCTACCAACATTCATCTTTCCTTCACTTTGAACCCCTTTTGCATTAGTTTTGTTCTAACCCTTACACTACTATTACATGCAATACTCTATGAGGATATTTTATATGCATGTATGTATATGCTAGGTCTTCACTTTCATTTCACACATGAAGTACAAACAAATAGTTATAAGTGTCTCATAAGCCGATATGCGCTGGGCATCTTTTATAAACTCGCTGTATGGGATATTTTATGAATGATTGTTTGTGAATTTAATTAAGCGTGACACTATAATAAAATATTGATTGATTTATTGATTGATTGAGTAATCTCTCCTTACTAAATACATTACAGCCACTCTACACAACCTTTTGGTCCCTTCCTTTTGACCCCTTCCCTGTCCAATCCTACATCTCAGGGTTCCCTTTCCCGCAAACCATAAACCGCTAGTGTAACATATCCTATTTCTCATGTCCTATGTATAACGGGCTTTAGCACTATTGGACAGGTCACCTTATTTATATAGAGACAACATTACATGGACGTGCTTCCTTGTTGAGCTCGGTTTTTGTTTGAACATATATGTCACTCGTGCGCACGCCTCATTTCAACATGTTTCTTTAATGTAATTGTACTGTTGTGTTTTATATCATTCACTCATTAGGAAATTCAATCGCACATTTTCGTTTTCTGGTGATTCAAATTTATATATTTATACAATTAAAAAAAAAACAGCCTAATTTCATTTCACAAATATTGACGTTCTAGACACATTTGTTGACTAAAGATATCCACAGTAAATAATCTACAACTTGGTTTCTGTTGTATTTAATTCAAAATACGTTTTTGTTTTGTTATCCTCTTAGTTCCCCATTTTGTATTGACACTGAGCTTTTATTTTGTTGCTGTGTATTGACGATGTGGTACATTTTGAAACTCAATATTTATGCATGCATAATTTTAAATAAACTGTGTTGATTAAATCAGTTAACTTAACCCCACAATAACAACAACAGGAAGCGAGAAGACAACAAAAGAGAGAAAATGCAGGAACTGAGGAGACACAAAAACAAAAAGAAGGGCAGCAATATAAATTGAGGAGTTGTCAAAATAAAGATAAGACGACAGAAACCGAGGAGACACGAAAACAAAAGGAAAGACAACATCAGGAACTGCGGAGACACAAAAAGACTCGAAAGAAAGACAACAACAGGAACAGAGATACCAAGAAAACAAATGAAAAAAACACAACCGGAACTGAGGACACTCCAAGGCAAATGAAAAAACACGACCGGAACTGAGGACACTCCAAGGCAAATGAAAAAACACGACCGGAACTGAGGACACTCCAAGGCAAATGAAAAAACACGACCGGAACTGAGGACACTCCAAGGCAAATGAAAAAACACGACCGGAACTGAGGACACTCCAAGGCAAATGAAAAAACACAACCGGAACTGCGGACACTCCAAGGCAAATGAAAAAACACAACCGAAACTGAGGACACTCCAAGGCAAATGAAAAAACACAACCGGAACTGCGGACACTCCAAGGCAAATGAAAAAACACAACCGGAACTGAGGACACTCCAAGGCAAATGAAACATCAACAACAAGGACCGATTAGGCATCAATAAAAAATAGTAAACTCGGGTTTTACAGTACATCTAAGTACGTCATGTGTATCTATCCTTCTACAAACCTTATCAAACATACGTACTGTTGGTGAATCACGTATTCCCTTCAGCATAACTCGGAATGAAGAAAAAAGAAACTTATCAAAACTACATACAGTGAGTACTCCGCGGGAACAGCCAGTCCCCTTAGTGTACATTAGAATGGATGAAAAAGAGATTCTATCAAATTACGCACTGTACTCTACGGGACCAGTCGTTCCCTGTAGAATAACTGGGATTGATGAAAAATGAAGATATCATCGGAAATACGTGCAGTACTCCGCAGGACCCGCCGGATGAAATAGAATCTATCGACAATACGTGTGCGCACTGTAACACATAACAATTTCTAACGAGAATGACGTCATATTTCGCTGAATTATTTGACCTTTTCTTAGCTGGTAAGACAATTGTCGTTAATACGTTGATCTTCACTACATAGTTCAATACGTGTAGCTAATGGGAAGATAAGGTCTTATCAAAATACTTCCGCGTGCGCGCGCTCTCTCTGTCGGCCGGTGAATCAGTCCGAAGCTGTATGTTATATAGCAACAGGCGAATGTAGGCTTACAAAACAGTATTTACTCGGCTCAAACAGTAGCATACCGGGGAAAACTTACGGAGTTGTAAATAATTTACAAGGACACGACTATCCAGGAATGACATATCGAGATTAGTTTTCTATGTATTGATTTTATTTTTATTTTTCATTTTAACACGCTGAGTTAATATCACGGAGCTACAAATCTTTTAAGCTACAGTTGACAAGTGTGAAGGTTGAGAGTCCTTACCATGGAAATATGACTGGCGTTGAGGCCTATCTTAACCGCTGATAGTTAAATTTGTTCTGTGATACGGTATATCCTGCCGTAGTATATTATACCCTTCACACTTAAGAAATGCCAGTAGACGATGACAGGCGGCTTCTCTAACACTACAGATAGAAGAAATTCTTGCTAAAGTACGGAGTTCTCCGAGTACACACATAGACCGACCCCGTCAACTTATCATTTACCTAATTGGTTGAACGGGAATATTTTTGTCGAATCTGAAGTGCTTTAGTTTCCTATGTGGAAGTGTTGTGATTCTCCGACCCATCTGATTATTTAGAAATTTAGAAATATTTATTTCAAAATATTTCCGGATCTTTTTCTTTAATAGCATTTGAACCAAATGTTACTTCGTCATTGAGTAAGTTTAAGCGAATCTGTGTGATATTTTTGGAATGTGATATTTGCGAGGGATATTTGTGACGGGATATTTACACCTGTACACAAGCTACTGTAAGCAAGAGGAATCCTCACGTGGCCACGTGTGATGCACGATCTAAGCATTAAGAACAAAACAATGAATGGCTCACGTTACCGTAGCAACGGAAGTGACAGCAAGGACACCATTTTCAAGGTGGTTTTGTTGGGATGTCCAGGTGTCGGTAAGACAGGTAAGCAAATTTCATTTGATTTGTTATTATTATCTAAGTCTTCATTCCCTTATAAATATTAAAAGGAAAACTCATTAAATCGAAGACATTTACAAACTAATCACAAAATATTGCAAAAGAGTGTGACTACCATAACACGAAAATGTTTCATGTGCTACGGCCCATCAAAACAACACGGTCATACATGACTATATATGTCTGTTACACCTTCGATGTGTAGGGCAGAAAGGAGGTATATCCAATCCTGTCTGTTGTCGGCTAGTCTTTGTATAGCACACCATGTCTTCTAATGATCCGTCACCTCAGCCTCTATCGTGCACCTCAAACTTTTCTTGTATATCTCCCTTTTGTGTTTTCCCTCTGGTCTCCAGAAGATAGCAGTCTTTGTAACGCTGTCCGAGCCTTTACTTAGTACATGGTCAAGCCAATTCCATCTCTTTCTAAAACAAATATGGTTGCTACGTGTTCTTGGTGACATCTGTTGAGAAGTTGGCCTGATTTGATATGATATTTTGCAAATAGATTCTTAGGTTCCTTCTCAGACTTTGAATGAAAAAATCTTGATAAGATCACCCTCAGTCATTCTCCAGGTTTCATATCCATATAAAAGCATGGCTAGCAACATTACATCGTGATATGTAGAAACTAATAACAAAACTATTGTAACGTAGTAATAATAACAATAATTTGTTTAATTGTATATGATACGACCCATCAACACAATTTACAGTCACACATACATATATTGGTAAACGGTTATAATGTTTGCCAAGAGAGACACGGACGCATGCAAATTGTAAACGGAAGGTAGAACGGTCTGTCAGTGTAGTCACGTGTTTCCATTGGAATTTGTGTCTTTCGATTTCATTTCGTATCTTTTTCTTTATCTTTTAGTTTGACATACTTAATACATGGCTAACGGGGATTATAACAGGCACTTCTCTAAAATCGTGGTGCGCAATTCATCAGCACGCTTTACACAGCACGAACATTAGTTAGGAAAACACAATTCGAATTTAGTAATTAAATAATTAAAAAAGAAAGAAAGCAATGCTTCGTCAAAAGTGCATGGCCTTGTCAACGTCATCTTTGAATTCTGCTCTTGATACAGATACTCTCTATGCCTATCGAGAGCATATCCCTTGCATTTCAAAGATGCGTATTCATGAAGTGGTCTCCGACCTTGGCAGAACTGCTTCTTTAAAGTGTTATTAAGCCAATTGGTTCAGTTTTAGTGAAATAACGTTTAAAAATTTGTATAAGAAACGGAAAGTAATAATACGACAATGTCAACACGTAAAGGCGGAATTAATTATTACCGTTCCACTGCAAAAAAACGGTTACTATGCACTGGAAACCGATTTTCCGATATTTCTATAGGTTTGATTAATAACTTCTAAAAAGAACATCATACTTTTCACGACTACAGTGCAGACGGACAAGGATCCTTAAACGCCGATAAGGGGAGAAAATAGGAATTGAGGAGACATCGGAATAAATGAAAGAAATCATAAACCCCAAAACACAGGAGAGTGAAACAAGATGTCTGCCGTTAAATCTGTAACCGTGAGAGCAATCAATTACTTTGCATCAAAGTCTTGATCACGACGGACAGCATCATTATCGGCGCTTACATAAAAAAAAATCTAAGCTGCATCATTATTCTCGAGGGTCCGTATTCATTTAACTGTCTTCATGCACAAGCATTGTTGATTCTGTGTTCAAACCAACTTTCTTGTAAGTGTTTTGACAATACTAAAAGGTAAAGTGTAAACACTGTAAATAGTATACCGCTTTCAATCTTTCCAAAATTCTTCCATATCATTGATTTTTGTTTTGTTTTTTAATTAATTCATCACCCGAACAAGAAATTGGGATTGAGTACAAAATCTTGGTTTGAGCATGAGAACTGCTTCATGAATACTGGTCTTGGTAAACAAATAATGATTCACTTGTACAATATTTAATTCTCCTGAATTCTAAAATACTCTAATTATCTTGGGATGTTTTCACAGCTATCATTCCCTACCAATCTCACACTGATACAAACATACTAATTCCTACACTGAATACAAACATTATTGCGATCCGTTTCAGTGGCACGTTTCGATTTTGATGGATATGAAACAAATGCATTCTGCTTAGCCGGGGTCCCGTATTAGTGCCAGGACACCCCAGAGATATAGACATATGCAATCTTAAAGCTATTCATTTACACAAAACGTCTGACACTTGTATTTGGCCTAGAACACACAGGAATTCTTCAATTTTTTTAATGGCGTCAGAATAGCGGTTTGGGAAAATACAACAAATTACAACATAATGCCAATCATTACAGACAAGAGTTAGGACACTGACAATACAATTAAAAAACTAGGTCAATGATATTTGTATTTAGAAATAATTTCAGCAAAACCATTTAAGTCAAACAAGAATAAGGTAAGGGCACGTGACGATTCTATTTCACGATCGATAGCCAGCTTCCCTTTCCTCAATAGTTACACATCCCATCTTCTGCCTATTAGTTAAGGTGGTTACGAAAGATTCGGTATTTCAGAGCTTGTTCTGAGTATCATGATTGGCTTGATAAATGCACCATGTTAACTTATAACTTACTCAGCCAGGGTATTCCACCATAGAGGCCCTAATCTACGCCGACAAAATACACTATCATTATATTACATATTTATCAGACTTTCATTGTTTTATTGTACTTTACACAAGTACTAAAACTTCGTCCGTTTATGATATATCAATGGTGTTGATTGAACTTTCTTCAGTACATAGAAAAATGAAAGGCACGAAAACAATCGGTAAACACATCTGCAATCGTGGCATTTACGCGAGAAAATCACGTGCACATGTCCATGACGCCTTTGATATATGCTTATTTATACTTCCAAACTATCACATTTGTTGTGCATAGCTTCAGATCTATTTTCATTTCCATTTTAAATGCATTGATGCACCAATGTGTAAACAAGATATAAAACTGGAAATGGCCCCCATTTCATGCTTGCAGAACATCCTCGTTATTTTAAATTACAAAGACATGTTGGTGTAGTCTATTATATGAGAAAGTAAAGAAGAACATATCCTTATTATGTTTTACGAAGATTTGTTGCAGACTTTTACAATGCATAGGCGTACCCAATATGAACGCCTGTATGGTATACACATGGATGTTGTTATGGATTATTTTATGGATTATTTTCTGTTTGTTTCCTCAGCTCTTACGGTACGTTTCCTGACCAAGCGTTTTATCGGCGAGTACTGCCCTACACTAGGTAAGTACAATGATTAATCCCGCTCCTGTGTTGTGTGTGCAAAAACAAAACAAAAACAAAAACAGTCGACTGGGGAGGAAGACAATCTGTTTCCCCGCCTCATTGTCGGGAATGTGACAACCCCGTCATCTGTTGTAATGCTTCGTTATTTTAAAGCTGCTTCCTTTTTCGTTTCGGCTTGTCTTTGATTCTGGTTTTTACCTGGTTAGGTTTCTCCTTTATTTGTTTTGTTCAATCTATGATTCTCTCCCGTCTCCCTACTATTTCCTGTACTTCAAGCCCTACCTCTTTGATTAAGACCCTTACCTCCTACTTTTCAGACGCCCGCCTCTGTGATTCAGACCCTGACCTCCTTCTATTCAGACCCCGGCCTTCTACTATTCAGACGCCCGCCTCTGTGATTCAGGCCCCGGCCTCCTACTATTCAGACGCCCGCCTCTGTAATTCAGACCCCGGCCTCCTTCTATTCCGACTCCCCTACTACCATCGAAATTTCGATTTCCCGTACTTTATTTTGTTATGTCGATTACTTAGATCACCTTCCTTTTCTTTCAGTGTATCTTTGATTCAAATCATTGTCCCTGATCCGTGCCATTGCCTCTTTTGCACATCCACTAAACAATATGTGATATGTTCTAACGTGGACTGGTGCTGCACTGACGTACGCTGTTCCCCCCGGATTACTATTAGACGTCATAGGAACGTTGTTAATGGTCGATTACTACCGGGCCACCTGATCCTACATAGTAAGGTTCTATAAACCGCTATTCACAACAAACATCGTTTAAGCCAAGCATACCAACTTCTTGTAACCTCATCAAAACTAAATCGCTTTGTAATTTATCTACAAAGTGATATCTATTGTACACCTGTTATCTCGGGTTAAGGATCCTGGGGCCATGATTACTGCACTGAAACCATTTCATGTCTTGTATATTTTATGGTTTAATCATTTTTTAAATTGTTTTCTTGATAATGACTACAATTTAAACATCAATTAGTAAATATGTATTATTAATTTCATTTTCACATTTTCCACTATATGTCTTTCACTTTAAGTCACCTCTTCGTCTTTTTAGTCTATCTGTTAGGGCGTCGTGGCGAAGGGATAGCCTGTAAACACTTCCGGTGGTTTTTACTGAAAACTTTCGGATTGCGTTCATGATCGTATGACCTACAGCGATCTTCGTAGTATTTTCATCTTAAACGGCAATCTACGTCTAAAGTCTGCGTAAATTTTAAAAGAGTAAAATTTGAAGTTCCACAAACATGGTTGTGCTCCCGTGAACGAGTATGATACTGTAGACAGTCGTTCGTTACCACTTGGCTAGAGGCGGTTTCCCTTAATGTCACTCCTTGTTTTAATTTAAAGGTCTGATTAAACATATCTTTTTCTGGTAGGCTTACCCAAGATGTCAATATATCCATTTACCTTTAGCAAACGTTACATCAAAGGAAGGGTGTCTATAAGGCCCTTATTTGGGCCCCGGTATATTCGGATTCTCACCTCCTTATTTTGTTCGAAGATGTCCTATTGTATGACATACGGAAACACTAACGTAAAACTTTGGCCGAAAGTGGGTTTCAGTGGGTACCAACTGGGGTATGGTAAATCACAAATATAGTTTGCTGTTTTCAAAATGAGCTTAAAAACCAAAATAATACCATTTCTGTTTTGGAAAACATGTATAAATTAGACAAGCATATGTAACAGAATGAAAATGACAGAAATTCAATCGTCACTTAAAGATTGTTTATATAAAACGAAGGATTACGTCAGGGGGGTCTGTTCGGTTATTTTGAATTGAAAAGTAATTTGTCTTCTCAATAATTTCCTTTCTAATTAATATTTTGAATTGAAATTTACAACTTCACTCATTTAAGTAGACTTGCATAAATTGCATATTGACTGCATACTTTCCTTTTGTTTTATACTGAGTTATGGCTTCTGGACACATCTCAAACTTGGCTTTTTCAAATATCTCTCAATGTTAAGTGAATTAAATGGTGCATGACAGCCTTTATATGCTATAAGTATAAGATATCAATTGTTAGTATTGTATATTATATATATCATATAATATTTGCTCAACACCTGTGACTGAGGTGAGTTCCAGGTCCTGATTTGTTTTTTTACTTATCAAAGTTAACTTACAAATCAAAAATGGCATTTGCCACCACAACTACTGTAAAATGATTGATTTAATATATGAAGTTTGATTTGCTGGTCATTTTAAGTCTCCTAGCCTCAAGGAAAGTATCTGCTTTAATCGCTAAAGTTAACCGATTTCATTGTTTTATCAAATGTTCTGCCTATTTCCAATGTTTATCTGCTGATTGTAAATAAAAAGGCATTTGGGGATAAGCATGTAACTTGGCATAGAGTTTAGTTATATGATGATATTTAATTTGTGAAAGTTTCATACTTATCCCACAATGCCTGTTTACTTAAAAACGCATTTTCCTGTGATTTACAGTACAAGGACCAAAGCGCATCTCCTTGCCTAACAGCAAATATTTCCTGACAATACTAGTCTATATGAATGTATGTAGATTAAACAGGCTCAGTAGAGTGTGTATAGTAGTAAGAGGGGCGTTCGACATGCTACATTGACCAAACGTCAGATAGTTTATGCTTTGAAAACGCAAAGAGAGACTAAGTTGTTCGTTCAAGTTAATGCTTGCAATTAACAATTAATCTTTTTCTTGATTTCATACGGTTTATTTGTTACATCCAATGCTAGCTGCTACTCATATTATTTCTTAATTACTTTTCTTCCCTTTTTGTTACATTACATTAAATATGCCATCAGTGTGTGTTGTAGGAGTACCAAAAGTACCGAAACACCAAAACAAAAGGAAAGATATTAACCCCTACAAAACCAAAATCACCGGGAGATGTATTCCAATACATAAGAAACATGCAAGGAGGTTACTAGACATGCATACATTCTAGCTACTCAGATATAGAGATAGGACTTTCCACAAAGATACATGTAGATAACTGTGTCTCGAAATAACGAAAGGCATGTTTCTGTCAGAGAAGTTAGTAACGCAGCTGTCAAGCATAAATACCATTGCTACCAATCTGTAAAGACTCAGGATGCCATATCTGAATTAAACGGACACAGAAGAGTTCTATAAATAACATGTCTGTATACAACGGAAACGAGCTTAAAAAGCGGAATATTGAACGTGTCACCAACTCATCTCGGAAGTTTACTAAATAATATATCATTTTGGATATTCAGCAGGAAATTAATAAAAATAAATACACAAACCATCAAGATGGCTCCTTATCAAGTATATTATTCAGATACACACTTTTGATTAAAAGCCAAATTTAAAGTTGAACTCGAGATGACCTTAAAAAGAATGCCTATAGTAGCCGCTAAATGATTGTGTCCCCTTTTAAGTTACACGTATCAACGATAGACTGTAATCAATTAAGCGAGTTTTAAAGTCGATATCACTTTTAGTATCGCTGGAATGTGTTCAAGTCGTTTCAAGGGCCAGAACCGGACAACCATATCTCGCCAACGAATTGGTCTAAACGGATTTAGACGAAATATCTATAGGACTAAACAGAATCGTATCTTTTTGACGTGTTTAGATTATAACACCAAATTGGAGCAGAACTCTACACTGAAATGTCTGTACCATGTTATTTTCTGCTGTTCTGTTCTCGTGTATTCTCCGTTTAGGTACAGAATCAGTACAGATGGCGAATTGGCGTATCAATATGTGCATGCTTGCTGATGGTTGTAAACGTAATCTTTTTGTTTTGGGTCCGTGTTTCTAACGACTCTATACGGTAATAATTAACTTAGACCATATCATACTGTTAGTAAGCCACACCCCATGTCACTCCTTATCATTATATGGTAGCTCGACCGGTAATAGAATAATGACCGTGAACTACTAAACATAGTTGGCTAGGGTAACACCAGTAGTATGAGAGTGGATTTATATTTATAGCAAGTCTAAGATCTAATCCTATCGTTTTATCAATAAACTCATCGAAATAGAAATGAGAGAAACAACAAAACCCAAGTGTTTAGCAAATATTTTCTCAAATCAAGTAGAGAGAAAAGGATGAAAAGACAGATAGTGTCCCACAATATACATATACAAATATATCGTGGGAAATGTCCCTGAACCTGCAAGGTTGAATAGTGATTCAAGTACAGAAACAATGAACTGAATATATAAACTGTAGCTCTACTAATTAGATAATAGTCAAAGAGGATTTGTTAAATTTCGTAGATATGCGTCGAATATTTCAAATATTAACACCAATGTCATCTTCAGGAACTGGCTCTCATGTTCTTTATTCTGTTTTTTATACTGATTCGAAGAAACCTTTAGTATTAAAAGCTTCTGTTTTTTTCTTTTATCACCTTTCCTTGCTTAACATCTTATAGAGATTGACTTGGTCTTACCCTCTTCTCTACCAGGTGTGGGTTGTCATGTCGGGTAGGATATACAGTATTAAATAAATACTATGGAGTATTCCCAGACAGATTAAGATTGACTCGAAGGATTCCTTTTCAAACGACATATACTGTTTTATGGCGAGCAGTATATCCCTCTGATATCCTCCTTAAGGTGATAAAAGTATGCTAGTAGGTCAAGAAACTTTGTTAAACAAATACAAATATTGATTTGACATTTAAATATTCCGGTAGATTGGCAGATTTGCTATAGTAAAACACATCTCGGCTCACAGCGACGCCACAATTGTTTACAAATGTATTAGAGCAAACGTGTTTTGGATTTAATAACCTCGAATGGGCCAATTCTACAAAGATTAATAGATATTTTGAACCTTTAGCGTATTAATTGAAATGCTGAATTTAAGATAAAGCATTTAAAATATATACAACCTTGGTGACAGAACTTGTTAAAGCGTTGAAATGCCGTTCGAACTAGCATGTTTTTTTTCTGAAATTAAAGAATAATGATAGGTACAAGATAGTTTATAGTGAAAGGAGAAATCT